TTTAGTAAAACAAAAATGTAATTTTTTCCTCAAGGATATTGTAGAATGGTGCAACCACATTCACTTTTTTTTCCAACTAGACATTTAAGACACAGCAGTCAGCTAAGGGAAACCGACGGTAGCAAATACCAGGCGTTTAAGCCTGACACTCAAAGCCAGCCCTGCTCTCCCTATGGAGACTGCGGTAAGAACATTGTGTTTTAAACAGCAGCTGGGTGCGACTTCTGCATTAAATCGACAAGTTTATTAGTGGCATGCATTAGCGGAAACCTCACGCCCATCAACTGATGACAGTTGACAAAGAGAAGAGAGAGAGAGAAAGTAAGACCGATACGCCTCAGATCCAGCACCTAGTTTTCTCCCTACCACAAACCAAACGCACTTTCAACCACCGCGACGCAATAATAGTCGTTACTTAGAAGGTTGCCAACTGACAGGTTGATAACCCGATCCTCTAGACTACGCTTTAACCAAATTAACAAGCAAGCGACCACTGTACCCTCACCGTAACTTCGCTTTTCCTTGTTCCTTACGTCAGCCGAACAGTCATTTGCCTTGAATCAAGTGTGAGTACGTAAATAATAAAAAGGCCCGATAGAACCAATTTGAGAGAGAGAGGGGCATACGTAGTGATGTTCGTATTCCATAGAGCGCATGGACCGGGAATTTAAGGAGACAGTAGGTTCCGTTTAGTATATTTAGGGTAATAGGCCATTCCTTTGAAGACCCTATCGGCGCTCTGCAATTTTTCTAAAATACTGATTCAACAGGATTTGCAGTAAAAGTCAAATTGGTCACCCACCTTTCACACCCCTAGCTCCTACTCAAGTGGTTACTTTTAGTTTTTATAACTTAAGTTTAGTTTTTAGTTTAATTAGACATCGCCAACGTTAGATAAATATACTTACATAAATACTATATACTACCTCAAATTAACTACACAAAGCTAAACAAGACTAACTAATCTATACACTAAACTGAACTAAAGTTAAACTAATAAACTAAATTATAACTAAACTAATGCTACCGGTTCCACAAGACAGGATTCTGAGGCTAGGGGTATGTAAGGTGGGTGGCCAACGTAACTTTTGCCTGATGTGCGAGAAACGTAACGATCTTTAAGCACACGC